TTCCCTCTAGTCTTACACTGCTAAATTAGGGACGGCTAGCGCAGATAGCCCTCGTGTAGCTTTGCGCGAAATTCAAAAACAAGCTTAAAAGCCATAAGAGTGAAACATCAAAAGGGATGAAATGTTACTGTAAGCCTTTTTTAATGCACTTTTATTATTATTAGCATTTTACTTAGTAATGCGTGTTAATGTAATATTGTACACATTGTTTATGGAAAGTTATTATAAATACTATAATATTAATGTTTATACATCAGGAGTGGTTTGCTACAGAAAGGAGATGAATTGTTAATGATTAATGGCAAGCAGCTTCAGGGAGTCGAATTAGAAGAAGCCCAACATCTTTTACGTACGTTCGATACCACTGTGACTCTAATTGTATCAAGAAAGGTAATTTCACGATACAAAATTTCTTATAAATAAATAATAAATATAGTTTTAAAAATCTTGCACTTTTTTTAAAATAAAATAGAAACTATGGTATATTGCTGCCATCTATCGGTAAAATACTACATTTTAAAATTCCACGAAAAACCATTAAGCTAAGTGTATGAGCAAACCGTGGGTGCTTGATGATACAGAAAAGTTTGTAGCTTGTTACAAGGAATGTGACGAAAATAAACGAGTATTTAAACACTAGCTGATATATGTTAAAGGCCATTAATAGTCTTGAAACACCCCAGAACAAAAGGAAACTGAAACCATGATTCCGTTGTCATAAGAACTTGTGATTTAGTTTCCTGCAAAAGTTGCGTGTTATATTTCCAGTAGAAAACGTTATGGTTATTTTAAAACATTCCAATTCTGTGGAATTAGTTGATTTTCTAGCTTTTGAGCAATTTGTAAGTTTAGCCATAAAAAATAATAGTTCAATATTTTTTACATTCATGTCAAAAATCTAAGAAATTTCTTTTTATGATTTTTCTCGTACGAAAATAAGTAATTAAAAGTTAATTATAGTATTTTGGCACTTGTGTATAAAGTTAAAGTCATGAAGAATATTCAACGTTAAACAGGTACACAATTAAAAACATTTTATTTAAGCCTATCTGTGGCCTTAAAAAGTTGACGACTACATGTTTC